GCATCCACCTTTATTGGGCTGTCACAGATTACAGAAGCGCATGCTTTGACAATGCGTAAATTTCAGAAGCTGATGTTGTCGCATCGATGTGTGTGTGTGTATGTGTGCTGATCTACATCCACATGCATATCAACAACAGTTAAATTGAACTCGGAACAAAAAAAAAGCCTCACCGGGTTCTTCAAAAAAAACAGCCATCCACAGGAAACCACAGAGATACCCTGCTTACCCCCGCAACCCCCAACTTCAATGTTGTGATCGGAAGTGCCGAGCATCATCAACAGAAATGGCTGTTTTTTTTGAAGGCCGCCAAACACAAAATTCAGAAGACAACATTGAATTGGGGGACGGGGGGTGGCATGACCTCTCTGGTGTGGTACTTCACGGGATGGCTGTTTTTTTTGAAGAACCCGGACTCAGAAAAGACACAGTAGGATGGACCCATGGCTGCAGACAAACGCGAGAATGATGACGACACTGTGTCAGGGAAAGCATCGGGATCAGTTTGGGCGGGTGTTTGTGTGTGGGTGTGTCTGTTTGCTTGCGCGGGCGCATATGTGCTAATATGGGTTGTGCTAAGTGAAATACATGCAGCGACAGTCTTGACACCTTTTTGACCTGATTCCGCAATGTCGTGGGGTGCACTGGCTGTCGTTCTGCATGGCAGGCGCGCCACTTTGAGAGCGTGACTGCTCTATCCTGCACACCTGCCATGCAACGCACATGCAACACACATGCAACACACATGCAACACGACATGCAACATGAGCTTTTTACCTGTAAATTTACAGTCAACGTGCAAGATTTGACGTTTGCAGCCCCACCTCCGGTCTTAGAATGGAAAGTGTAGATTTTTGCCCCCGCGGCCACTTTGCTTGGAAATTTACAGGGAAAATGCTCGTGTTGCATGTGTGTTGCATGTGTGTTGCATGAGTGTTGCATGTGTGTTGCATGTGTGTTGCACGCGCGTTGCATTGGCAGCCGTGAAGTGGGGAAGTAGAAAACAGCGTGGCAGGCGCAAGAGTTGTAGGTGGCAGGGGCGAGACTTTGGAAGTTGAGCGCCTTGGATATTACATTATCGTGGTGGCCCGTAGCATCCACCTTTGTGGGGTTGTCGCATATTATACAGAATAAGTTTTGACAACCATCTTGGGTAAATTTCACAAGCTGATGGTTAGCCCTTGGCATCCACCTTTATTGGGCTGTCACAGATTACAGAAGCGCATGCTTTGACAATGCGTAAATTTCAGAAGCTGATGTTGTCGCATCGATGTGTGTGGATGTGTGCTGATCTACATCCACATGCATATTAACAACAGTTAAAATGAACTCGGAACCCCAAAAAAAAAACTCACCGGACTCAGAAAAGACACAGTAGGATGGACCCATGGCTGCAGACAAACGCGAGAATGATGACGACACTGTGTCAGAGAAAGCATCGGGATCAGTTTGCGCCGGTGTTTGTGTGTGGGTGTGTCTGTTTGCTTGCGCGGGCGCATATGTGCTAATATGGGTTGTGTTAAGTGAAATACATGCAGCGACAGTCTTGACACCTTTTTGACCTGATTCCGCAATGTCGTGGGGTGCACTGGCTGCCGTTCTGCGTGGCAGGCGCACCACTTTGAGAGCGTGACTGCTCTATCCTGCACACCTGCCATGCAACGCACATGCAACACACATGCAACACACATGCAACACACATGCAACATGACATGCAACATGAGCTTTTTGCCTGTAAATTTACAGTCAACGTGCAGGTTTTGACGTTTGCAGCCCCAACTCCGGTCTTAGAATGGAAAGTGTAGATTTTTGCCCCCGCGGCCACTTTGCTTGGAAATTTACAGGGAAAATGCTCGTGTTGCATGTGTGTTGCATGTGTGTTGCATGTGTGTTGCATGTGTGTTGCACGTGTGTTGCACGCGCGTTGCATTGGCAGCCGTGAAGTGGGGAAGTAGAAAACAGCGTGGCAGGCGCAAGAGTTGTAGGTGGCAGGGGCGAGACTTTGGAAGCTGAGCGCCTTGGATATTACATTATCGTGGTGGCCCGTAGCATCCACCTTTGTGGGGTTGTCGCATATTATACAGAATAAGTTTTGACAACCATCTTGGGTAAATTTCACAAGCTGATGGTTAGCCCTTGGCATCCACCTTTATTGGGCTGTCACAGATTACAGAAGCGCATGCTTTGACAATGCGTAAATTTCAGAAGCTGATGTTGTCGCATCGATGTGTGTGGATGTGTGCTGATCTACATCCACATGCATATTAACAACAGTTAAAATGAACTCGGAACCCCAAAAAAAAACTCACCGGGTTCTTCAAAAAAAACAGCCATCCACAGGAAACCACAGAGATACCCTGCTTACCCCCGCAGCCCCCAACTTCAATGTTGTGATCGGAAGTGCCGAGCATCATCAACAGAAATGGCTGTTTTTTTTGAAGGCCGCCAAACACAAAATTCAGAAGACAACATTGAATTGGGGGACGGGGGGTGGCATGACCTCTCTGGTGTGGTACTTCACGGGATGGCTGTTTTTTTTGAAGAACCCGGTATGGTATGATGGTGAAGTCATCTAATATCATGATGTCATGGAGAAATGATGGTGAATTACTTACATGAGGAATGATGGGGATGAATAGTAACGTACAACCCGGGGTGACACATCCAAGTCCTCCGGGGCGTCTTTCAGTTCGACATCTGCCATCCGAAGGATTTTGTTCTGTCTCATGAATTTAGCCAACTTCAACCGGACCATGGAGAAAAAGCCAAGGAAAATCATGGAAAAAGTGAACCGGCAGCTCTACTGCAAAACATAGCGGCAAGATTTGAACACCTAGTCTCCTAGAAACGCTACCTTAGTATCACTTGTATCAAGGCTTGACCTGCTGCCAAACTAAGACAAACGAAGAAAAACAAAAACAAAACGCAGATTCACGAAAAAACAAATAACACAAAAATTAAACAAAACGTGTTCCAGAGCTCTTGCTTGGCTGTGGAATCAGTCAGAAAGTCGCTGAGAGTAATTGCACACTGCTGAATTGATGCAATTTAGATATTTTGGATGTTTTGCAGTTATTATTGGACTGCTGAATTGTTCTTACTGTTTCTTGGAGCAAATAATTTAGATAATTTAGCAAATTAAAGGGTTCCTATGAGATCCTATGAGATCGTTTTCTTAGATCTAAAGATTCAAAGGGAAGGTGGAGATGAGCCAAGACGAACTATGCAAACGATCTTAAGCTCAAGGCTCATACTGTGGCTGATCCATTGCACCAAAGGTGACAAAGCTCTGGGTTTTAAAATAGGTCTGGGAATTATTGAAGCTCTCAGAGGAGAGAAAACAAACATTTCAGCATGAATTTGCAACTGAAAAGCAATCACGGCAGGTCCAGGGACACAAGCAGAATTTCAGGTCCAAAGCTTCTTGCTTGTCCATGTCCAACTTAGTCTCCCACGTGCTCTGCTCCAATCAGTGCACTTGCCATCCATCACCTGCTTCCCAAAGAACTTTGAATCACAAAAAGGGGCGCCCCGAGGACGCAATGGAGCTCAACAACATCAACACATGCTTTCCGATGTAAATCATCTCCAAAATTACCACTACATTCGTAGGCTGTGCAAGCAGTGAGCAGGCAATACGCACACCACACTGCAAATGGAGACCAAAACTACAGGGTCCCGCGCCCGCATGATGAGCAGCTCATCTTTTCCACCTGGGTCAGCCAGGAATGTGGAGCTATCACTGCAGCTGGGAAAGGAGATCCGTATGCTGTATCCATTTTGGAGCCACACATCCCATCCAAGGCTGGCACTCACTGGCAAGGGGTCTGGAGGCACGACCTGCCGCAAACCATCCACTTATGTAAACAAGGCCAATCTTATGCACAAAAAGGATATGTTTTTCCGGTCAGTGTGTTACACCCCTTGCGATTTGTGGCAAAAAATGCTCCCCCCTAAAAAATGAAGTCACCCAACAAAGGTCATCCCTTTAAATCGGGCCACTGACTTATTATGACGGAAAAAGTACCAAACAAAATCAAAACAATTGACAATTGGAATGTAACTTGTGATATCACCATTAAATAGCACACTTTAATAACACCATTAAATAGCACATATGGCGGCTTCCCAAATTAGGGGCATCCCCAAATCATCCGTTTTAAAAAGATGTTCCATTATAAACCATACATTTTGGGAGTACCCCCATTTATGAAAATCCATATATATATATATATATATGTATATATGTATATATGTATATATGTATATATGTATATATGCATATATGTATATATATGTATATATATGTATATATATATATGTATATATATGTATATATATGTATATATATGTATATATAGCATCTTCGAAAAAACACTAATAAACTATAATAAATGCTCATTTGGGAGGTTTCTGCTTTTTGACTGGTTTTTCTCCACATGAGCGTAATTGCACCACTTTTTGTATTTTTGCACTTTATGCATGTTTGAAGCAAAAAATATGTGCGTGTTTTCCCAGGAAAGAAGCGTAAATACCCGGGGAAAAAACCGTCCGTCAGGATTCAGATGCTATGACTGCTATGAGCAGAAAAAAATGCTCATTGAAGATACCGGTATATAGCAGCACAGTGGGTTCGCCGTCGGTAGACAATGGGGTGGGGTGGGGTGGGATGGGGTGGGATGGGCTAGTAAGCTTCAAGTACGTGTGGGCGCACAGATTCAGACAGATGTGATGCTACGATACAGGATGTTCACTTGCGCTTACGCATGTCCGCGGTGCTACGCGGAAGATGTCCTACGTCACGCACGGAGTGGGGGTTGTGCGGGGTGGGGTCCTCAAAATGTCACCTCATGATACCTCATGACTGTTTCAGAAAACCACACTGCGATGTTCAAGATAAACCACATCTGGTTGCAAGACGCTTAGGGAAACAAAAAGGCAAGAAGCTGTCAGTTGTCAATTTGCAGCAAATTTCTCATTTCAAGATGGCGAAGCCACCGTCTTGTGTATATATATATACATATCATACATACTTATTTATATTATATAATATCATGTAATATCTAAGTTCTATATGTAATGTCTATACAATATCATATACAGAATTAAATATCTTATATTATATTATATATATATTATGCAGATATATGCAGCACATATATTGGGAGCCTTCTTCCTTGAAATGTCCACTGATTCCAGGGAGTCAGTTGACTTTGCGGCCCCATCGAAGGGACAGGGCCTTGGTGAACACAGCCAATGGGTAAATCAATAGCCATGAAAATCATGGCTGGTAAATCATATGTTAATATATGTTAATTATTTATCATCATCTGGGCATATCTGGGCCATTTTTGCCATAGCTAGAAAAAAACTGTATATAGATCTGTTTCCAGCCATGTTAAATATCGTTAACTAACCAGATGGTAATTATCAAATAATTCTCCAGTAGTTCATAGTAGTCGTGTTTTCTCTCTCTCTCTCTCCATCGCCATCTCAGGAGTTCAGCTGAGCTATTATCTAGTAGTTGGCTATCCGCATTTGCAGAGATAATTCTCAGAGGGGATACTGTATCTTGAATAATCTTTAGAGACAAGAAGGCTCAGTGCTCGCAAAAGTCACTGACATCTGGGACTTCGAGAAAAATGCATCAGATTGGAAAAATATCACCAGCTGACGATGTCTATAAGTGGTTGATGCCCACAAGCCATCAGATGCTCATGCCCATCCCAAGTGTCCGGGAAAAAAACGAGGATTTCAAGTTGAACGTGGCAACCAAAGCATGCTAGGGAAAAAAAAATCCAACCCCACAAGCGGTTGGGACGAACCAACCGTACAAGCTCAATCACCAAGTCCGATCATTGTTGAGGGCCATGCTTCTTGAGTCCTTTCGGCCCCCCCAACTCCAACTTGTGCCTCAGCATCCGAGATCATCCAAGATACGAAGAAGACCCCCGTCATGGCCAAGCCAGAAACAAGGTGAAAACCAAAAGCTTAGACTAGAATTGCCAAGTCCAGCACAGGGGGTCAACTGAAAAGAAATCTGCAGTGTTGTTTGCTGCAACCCTACCTATATGTTCCTATCAGCACACCCTAGCGTACCACGTGCCCAAGTCCGTAGAAAAATACTTTGTATGTAGCATACGACACTGCATCAATCGGTCAAGAGCATGTTCATCACCCCACACACACATGGAAAAATCGGAGATAGACTGTGACCATCCATACCCATCCCCAAATGCAGTTGTTTATGGGGGACTTCTTTCTTTGTTCAAACTTCAGTGGGCTCGCTTTCGGGCGACCAAGGCACTCCATTTCATCGCTATTCGTCCAGCCCCACCTGGAATTCAGGATCCCATGATTTCGGATGCACATTGCTGAGAATATCTGAGAATGATCCAAGACCCGACATGTAAATTGCTGTTTGTGACCTCAGAAAGCGACAACTGAAGAAATTGTAATGCGTCTTCTAATTCTTCTAATGGGTATGTGTGAGCACACATGTCACGTGCCATTGCTTGCAGCGCAAACAGGCGAAGTGTCAACTTCTCAACAGGGCAATGAGAATGAATCATGCAAAACAGGAAGCGATTACGACCGATCAAGGAATTTTGGCGGATTTCCAGGATCTTGTCTAAAGGCCCAAGACTTGATGAAACATCCCAGACAGAATCTGTTGGCCTAGTGATGACTGTGTCAAACTCCCCAGTGTTCGAAATCGGCTCCTGGTACCAAGCATTTCATCAGAGTCATCGCTTGGTGGCTCAAAACGCTCAAAGGCACGCAAGTGACATTGGTATGAATATATATTATATGAATATATATATATACAGTATATATATATATCATATTATGCAAACATATGAAACGCAATTGAAGGCGATTGAAGGCGACGACGATGATGCTGGTGGTGGTGATGACCAGGTGACCAGCAGTATGGCCCTAGGAATCACACGATCCAACACTGTGATCCATCACATTTATCATACGATGTTTTTTTGCAATAACTCTTCTATGGGGGGGGTTTTGTAAAATGTCTAAAATGGCTGGTACCCCCATTTTCAGATCATCCTATATTTAAGTATATTATAGTATATTTAATAGGGATTTGCCATGGATTTTCCATGGATTTTCCCATGGAAATCAACCATCCATAGCTATCCATAGCTATCCCAGCCATGACTGGAGGTTTCCCCACCAATCGCAGCAGCCGGGCCTGGCGGGAGAAAGTGAAATCCGTGGCCGCTGGTAGACCAATGTATTGCCAACGCTGGTCCTCCACAAGGAAGAACGCTGCTGGAAAACGCTTGCAGCAAACGATTTTTAAATGCCGGAAATGATATAATCAATACGTATTAATTAATATATTACTAGAAATTATGAGTTATAAATAACTATACATGTGTTTCTAGTAGAGAAAATGTTGATGTGTGTGTGTGGGGCCTGCAGGGTGAGGATCCAAATTCATAAATACCATCAATGTGTTGACGCATTTTTGAGTATAGCGCTGGCGTGCACTGGCACTAAGTGGCCTCATAAGTTTTTTTGTGAATTATTCTCAACCCACCGAGTTCCACATCAGTGTCCTGTGGATTCAGAATCTCACATTGAACCTCACAGATGCTGTACACCGTCTTGAGGCCAGGGAAGCTCACAGAAAACTCGACCTGAAGCTTGGCGGATACAGATTGCCATTGCAGAAGTGGTGGCAGTTGTCGTCACCAAATGCAGATGAAGCTGCCTCCTCACGTGTCTCCAACAGATAGGTGTGCAATGCTTCCCTCTGCTGCTGCTGCGAAATCCCCAGCCGCAGAAACAAGGCCTGGTCGTTTTGCAGGAGCTAAAAAACTGGGCCTATGAGAAGCCTTGTGATGCTTAACAGCCTGCAGAGATCTATCATACTAATACATACTAATACTATATAGATCTATATAGACTCCTAACAAACGTCGTGAGTACATTGTATACATGGTTACATGAAGATGGCCCGTCAATGCTCCGGTGTGTGCTGAAGTTGCAGCGTCAGCAAGCCAGCCATTGGATGCCATTGGGATTAGTGTGTTTTCAGCGATGCAGACAACGTCAACATCACAAATGATAACTCCAAGATCCGCAGCTACTCGTGGCCCTATTGCTTGGGCACAGTCTCGACTGGAAACACAAGCAAAGCAACAACCTGCAAGAGATAAGACCACCAGTGCCTGTGCTATTTTTGCAGTAGTATTTTAGTCTACCATTTTTTGGAACCACACCATTCCCAACACTGCCACCACGCACTGCATCAGATTAGGAGGTCATTGGAGGGCCAAAACGATTTCGAAGGAAGCAGGAAGCAGGCTAGAGGCCCCAGACAAAAGGATACATAAAGCACACAAAGAGCGGCACAATTGATACAATTGGATGGTTCATGGTGATAAAACATTCTGGTGTTGGGAGTGAACCATATGAGTGCAAGTGGTTTTGAAATTGTTGGAATGTTTTTGGATATGATTGCACATTTCTGCTCAAATAAATCAGATCATCTCGGATCAAATCTTTGGATGCTTGAACCATCTTCAGCTTCCAAAAACCAACACTCAGATTTGCAAGTTGGCTAAATATATTTGGATGACTCGATGCCTCTGAGACTGCTTCAGTCCAGTTCTGCAAGGCCCTCATTCGCATGGACAAAGTGCGGAGTTTCCGCACGTTCTGCGTCCGGCCTGAGCCATGGACACCAGGGTTCGAGACCAATCCCGCAGACTCAAAGACTCTCAAAGAGGCTAAGAATTGGAAGCTGCAAAGATCTGCAAAGTAACAAAAGCTTGCCTCACTTGGAATTCAGCATCTTTATCATCTTTCAGCCATGCAGTGCCAAAATTTGCCAAGTAGCCCCGTTGTTGCTTGGTCTTGATGACCAGAACATGCCTCATGGTTCTCCCATGGTGTCAGAGGTCCCACGCATACTCTTCGGTCCCACGTCTGGGGGGGGAAAGGCAAAAAAATCGCTCGGGATGAACCAAGGGATCTATAATGATCTATATATAGATTACAGTAGATGAACTTATTTAAGTTGCAAACCACATGAGGTATGCTGTGATGAAAGTCTTGTATCCAGAATCTATCATCTGTCTATGATCACATCAACTGCAATCCCTGCCGGCCGAGAGGCTTCTCATTCCATACGTTGGCTTCCAGCCAGATCTTGACAATTCGCACTTTTCGAACCAGTTGATCATCTACTACTTCAATGGTCGAAAGGGAGTCCTCATAAACCTGTCAGGGCATAGACATGTATTGGATTGTGTTGGCAATTTTGTCATCCACAGATTCTTAGTGCGCTATAGTGTGTCTGGCATGGAATGAATGGGATGCACTCCGGCCTTCTCCATTTTCCCCTTTCTATCTATGGAGTGTGTGTGTGTGGAGGTTCGTTGGTGGGAGGTAACTCTCGCATTTTTGCACACTTCGCTGCCGGGTTTGATTTGAAAACCATTCAAAACACATGAAAACACCATGATTTCCTGTGTCACTATGATTTCACATGTCAGAGGAGTGAAACTCGACTTTATCCCAGTGTGATGACAGGCACGGCGGGCAGTGTATCAAACCTGGAGTTGATTCACCAAGCAATTTCATTGAAGTAGCAAATTCATGTTTCAGAACCGCCATGTCACTGGCTCTGGACACAAAGCCATTGTGTTAAGGGCCTCTGTGTACAGCTCCACAAAGCTTTGCCATGTGAACTCTGAGATGTCGATGCCTATGTGGCTTCTGATGGGCAATTTCTCCCCTGGCTGGATCAAGAATTAGGATCAACCAACCTCAAGAAAACAGTGTCAACATGAACTGAATGAACCACAACTTGGAACCAGAAACAGCCCTTTTCAACATGTTAGATTCTGTTAGATAAAGCTCTCTCTCTCTCTCTATAGATAGATAGATAGATAGATAGATAGAGATAGCTAGATAGAGATAGATAGAGATAGATAGAGATAGATAGAGATAGATAGAGATAGATAGAGATAGATAGAGATAGATAGAGATAGATAGAGATAGATAGAGATAGATAGATAGATAGATAGAGATAGATAGAGATAGATAGAGATAGATAGAGATAGATAGAGATAGATAGAGATAGATAGAGATAGATAGAGATAGATAGAGATAGATAGAGATAGATAGAGATAGATAGAGATAGATAGAGATAGATAGAGATAGATAGAGATAGATAGAGATAGATAGAGATAGATAGAGATAGATAGAGATAGATAGAGATAGATAGAGATAGATAGAGATAGATAGAGATATAGATATATAGAGATAGATATATAGATAGAGAGATATATAGAGATAGATAGAGATAGATAGATAGATAGCTAGATAGCGATAGATAGAGAGAGATAGAGATATAGAGATAGATAGGATAGAAGAGATAGATAGATAGATATATAGAGATAGAGAGATAGATAGAGATAGATAGAGATAGATAGAGATAGATAGAGATAGATAGAGATAGATAGAGAGATAGATAGAGAGATAGAGAGATAGATAGATATAGATATAGAGATAGAGAGAGATAGATAGATAGATAGATAGATAGATAGATAGATAGAGATAGCTAGATAGAGATAGATAGAGATAGATAGAGATAGATAGATAGCTAGATAGCTAGATAGCTAGATAGCTAGATAGCTAGATAGCTAGATAGATAGATAGATGGGGCATATACGTGTATATATATATATATACGTATATATAGGCTATATAATTACAGGATAAACAGGTATCCGGACAGTTCTTTTGAAGCAGCTGCATCAACTCATCCTCCTTGCTGTTCACCACCTAGGCTTCAGGTGATCCTGGGATGGGATGGGATCCTCCAGACCTTCGACCTGGTTGTTCCAAGTGGAAATCAAGCGGCTTCAATCAGTATGCAGTATGTAGCCTGACCGGTCCAAAATGTAGCAATATCATGAAAAATATGTATGATTATAATGAAAAATATGTGGTCCCATGTGTGCTTTGCTGTTTCGACACCACTTGCTAATATTTTCAGCACCACCAAATGGATCCAAATTGCATGTTTTTCTTGAAGGGTTCACAAGAGTATGCAAGAGCGTTCCGTTCATGAGACCAAAGGAGGCAAATGGCGCCAACTTTCTTGCCAACCACCAGTAGCATTACTAGTACCGAGAAAAATCGGACCTCCATCCCCACCAGAAGCTGGGTTTCGAGCTTGCGCCCAAACCCACCTTCAGGCAGCTGCGCTTTGCAAGGTTTAGCTGGTGCCCAAATCCCAGTGCGGCGTGATGGGGTTGATGGGACCATGCGTGCGATCTAAGTTGATGCATGTGGCAGGAAGATGCTTAGGTGTCTGGTTTGTCCGGCACTTCCTACATCATTCACGGTCCCCGATGCCACTGCAAAATTCTTGAGCCGAGGTGCTGGGTCTTGCCGTCTTGCGTCTTGAATTCCTGGAAGGCCCAAGATTGCTCAACGTATCCAAAGCATTGGCTGATGGATACCATTAGCTTGTTGTCTTGCTCATGGATTTCTCTCCCTCACAGTTTTTGTTTTTTCGCATGTTGCGGAACTCATATCCGCCAGCCCACTCATTCAGCCCCAAAAAACAGTCATCCGCTGAACTCCCCATGAGGTCTTTGACATATCTTAACTATCTCGAATCTATAAGAAATATATCATCATATACCTGTACGATTCTAGGTTTTCTGGGCCTACGGCTTGCTTGTGTTTTGTTCTAGCAATCAAACACAGCGGACCCCAAAGGCTGCCAGCTTCCAACGATCCTTGCCGTCGGGCAAACCCATGGTCTGAAGCTCTGTGCGGGTCCGGTCCTGCAGGTATCCACTTATGCATGGAATGCGAAATTGATCAAGAACGGAAACATGATTCGAATGTTTAAGCCCTTCGCATTCGCAGAGTATGGTCACTGGCCGCTCATTGACATTCTATCTCGTGGAACAGGCCAGAGTGCAAATCCACTCTGGTGGCTTAAACGTCTCCAGATCAGGGCCTTCACCGTGACAAAGACGATGTGGGTCTTGTAGGTGCTGACGATGCCAGGAATGGTTTGGGAATCGGCACTGTACTCCTCATATTTGTATGCCTGAGACACCGAGTAGAGCCAATGCAAGCTCACCGGGTAGCTGCTCATTATGCAAGTCCAGTGTTTGGGGGGATATGGGCGGCAAGTGCTGAGGCAGTATGAGGGGAATAGATTACAATTCGGTGTGGTCTTGCTGGTTCGTCACGTCTGTAGGCGCCCCGAGTACTTGTCTGTGACATCTGCCCCTCCCCTCCTTTCCATCAATGCACACTGGCACCTTGCACAGGATGCCTGGCCTATGGGTAACCAGCACACTATCAAACATTGCATGATCCCCCGTCCCTTGGGCAAGTCTGAATTTTCAACACCGCACTGCTGGTAGCACGATCTTCGTGCGGCTCAGGATTGTTCCTTCTGTGCCAAGACTCGCTCGGCCTGGTCGTTGCAAGCATCACAAAACGGAGATCCGCGCCAGGCGAGAACCGACACCAACATAATATGAAAAAATTGAGACAAACTGATAGATGATATGATGATATGTCATTGTATTATCACAACCGGCAATGACTGATGTCATGAACGATCATGAACGCATAGAAAAACATGGAAACTAGTTGAGAAATGAAAACCAACGAGAATCTCACCATGAGGGCATTTTTCTTTGACTTTCGTAGGCCCATCGCAGCTTCCTCACAACTAGCCTTCTCCAAGAGTTCATTCAGACCTTCCTGGGAATTCAGCTCTGCCAGCTCCAAAGGGATCTGTCATGAGGGGAGGGGTGAGTGACAATAGGCCGGCGCAAATTGATTGGCTATGGAAATTTGTTGAAATATGTTGAAACCACCTGACCAATCGACATGACACCCGAGAAAGAGTTTTCGTGAGTTTTCGTGCCACTCAGCGCCCCTGTACAAATAAGGCTGCAACAAAGGCTTACGGAGGAGCAAAGGTTCCAGGTGCTGGCACGGGGTTCAGAAAATTCAAGTCCAAGTGGCAAGATGTGGCAAGAATTACTTTACTTCGAGTGATCCCCACCCTGACACACTATTCTGACATAGTTTCTGACATATCATCTGGATGTTTATATGGCATATATATATATTATATTATATGTATTCTGACAGTCTATCTGACAATCTTTCTGGCGTATACTCTGACACTCTTTCTGGCATCTATTCGGCATCTCTGACATTCTTTCTGGCATCCATTCTGACATTCTAGCTGGCATCTTTTTCAGGCATTCATTCTGGCATTCTATATATCTGGCATCTATTCTGCCATTCTATCTTGCATATATCAGCATGCTTTCTGGCATTCTATCATACATATGTTCTGACATTCTAACTGGCAGTCTTTCTGGCATTCTATCTGGCATATATTCTGACATTCTATCCGGCATTCTGTGTGGCATTCTCTTTGGCATGTGTTTGGGTCCAGGCGTGGCCCACTGCATCCAGAGCTCACGGTATGGAGTTCGGGTCCAGACGTGGACCACACAGTATCCCGAGCTGGCGAAGGAAATGAAGAAGATGAGAGATCCACAAGATAGCGGAGTAGGCGGATGAGGAGAAGGAGTTGCACCTTTGTTAAAATCCTCATCTGGCAGGTGGGAAAAAAGTGTTTTGTCGCTGTGTTTTTGTCTTGGTCCAACTCCATCACTGCTTCTGAGTTGGGTGTAGAAAAAGTACATGATAGAGTTGTGAGCTAAGCTTCCTCCAATTCCACGCCATCCGCACCTGATGGAAATTCTCCAGCTTTCCATGGCACTCCATTTGGTCTCCTGACTATCAGGGCAACTGATGGGAAGTGTTCAAACGCACAAGAATCATCAACAATCCAGATCCCGCTGGTCGAACATTCGCAAAATCATGCAAAATCCTCAGAGTTTCAGGCTCATCCGCCCTCGGGCTGCCCCAAACGCATTTGGACATTTCTGTCAAGTCTCGCACCACTCGCAGCAAGGGTCCAGGGCTCAATCGCCCAAGTTCTGACCACTCAAAGAGGCAGGGCTCAGTGCTGGCACCCCATGGGGAGAAGTCCACCAGCCAAACGCGACGCCGCGGAGGGATATCCACGTAGACATCGAAGGCAAAGCGGCTCAAAGGAAAACGACCACGTACCTGGACGACTCCAAACCATTCTGAGTACCATACACAATACATCACGGTACTATTACAATAAAGATTGATGTTGAAGCAGTTGAAAGTAGAGATGTCTGAGAATTGTAATTAAACCTGTTCCAAAGTGTTCAAATGACGGAGGTATCACCACGGTCTCCTGTAATGATTGTCGGTGTCCCCTCCAACGTCCTCTGCAGAACTTCTGGGAAGATTCGTGCCCCTTGATATGGTTGATGATATCATGAAAAGGAACAGTTATCCTAGCATAGGATCTCCCCG